TATATAAAAAAAAAAATAAGATTATATATATATATATATATATATATATATATATATATATATATATATATATATAAGTAGCTCAAACAGGCAGTTAACAAACACTGTCTATCAACTATCCATCTATACATTTCCTACACTTCCTGTAATAAATTTTTTGACTTCAAGGCCTAATAGTACATAGCAATATTCAAATGCCCTATGAATTTAAGTTTTTCATGATTAACTGGATAAGAATTTTTTACTCAATTTATACACAATAACTAGAAAATAACTAGAAAAATAAATATTCACAAAAATAATCATGGAGTTATACTTTTTTTAATTTACACAGCAAATCACACTTAAAAAACAGTTACTGTGAATTAGACTTATCAAGAAATATCTTGATGTTTTTGCTGTATTTTGGCTTATTTAATGCTTAATTTGTCTTATTTTAAAACATTATTAAATGATACATATATTTTTTCTTTCACAAGTACATTACACGGAGCTCAGGTTCAGAAAATAATATTAATAATAATAAATATTGTTCATTATTACTATTGTAATACTCCACTGTAAAGTAATAATTACAAAAATAAAAAAGAAACACTCTGAAACACTGAAAACACCAGCTCATGAGCTGCCTGCATGTAAAAGAACACAGTGCTGCGTTTCGCTCTGAATCACACAGCACATTTATTTATTTAAATAAATCAGCCTTTTGACAGTACCGCTAATCCATTTTGTGATTTCGGTGAATTCATGAATTTGATTAATTGTGCAGCCCTGGTTAAAAGCTCATACCTGGTGGAGATCCGTTTGACTGTAATCTGGGGACCGTAGGTCTTTCCCTGGGTCATGGTTCTGCCGATAGTGCGAACGAGAGGAAGTGTGTTGACTTTCGGGGACAGGAGGCCTCTGAGTTGGCCCTGTACGATGGCGGCGGTACCTGAGCTGTAGCGGGAAGCATTTACCTGGAAACCAGCCAGACAGTGACACTGTCAGACAAAACTTCTGCTCAGATATCGACCGACACAGACCTATTAGTCTGGAGGTAAAAAACAGGAACCGAAACAAGGAACACTTTCACACTGGACACAAAATCAGCTGAGCTTAGAAAATGACGAAAGGTTCTTGGCAGGGAGTCAAGAGTACAGTTTTTTCCCAGAGAAACATCAGTAGCGAATGCTGTGATTCACGTGAATGTGTGTGTGTTTGTTTTATTATTGATTGGCGTACCTGACTGCGGGGGTCGAGGTTCAGAAGCCTCCAGGACTTGTACATTAGATCAGAGAAGTGGTACAGCACTCTGAGACGGGTGTTTAGCACTTCAGGGCTGCAGTCTTTGAGGGCGTTATACTGCGGAGGCACGGACTGAGGCAGACCCAGCTGTATCCCTGAACAACCTGCAAAATACACAGTCAGAGTTGTTGACATGAAATGCAAAAACAAATCTCATATCCAACCGCTGAGGAACTGATCCTAGAACAGATGTTCATTGATGAGGTCAGAGTGTGTGGAGATGTGAAGGTTTTTTTTATATGCTAGGATTCAGCAGAAACATTTTGCATATCTGAATTACTGGGTTTATAGCTTTTGACCCATACATTTTCAGGATTTTCTATGAGTCTGCCTGTTGTTTGTTGCTTCTGGATAAATCATATTTGTAGAGACTGTACTAAAAAGCAACTAGTAGATTAAATATTTTCGAGACAAGAATAACTAGAAAATATACTATATAATTCAAAAGTCTGGGTCGGTAGTATTTTTAAATATTTTTGACAGAAGGCAAAGGCTTAATTTATTTGATCAAATATAAATAAATAAATAAAATAAAATAGTAATACTGTCAAATATTATTACAATTTAAAAGAGTGGTTTTCTTTTTAAATAAATTTTAAAATGTAATTTATTCCTGTGATGCAAAGCTGAATTTTCAGCATCATTACTCCAATCTTCAGAAATTATTATAATATGCTGATTTGCTGCTCAAGAAACAATTTCTTATTTTTATTAATGTTGAAATCAGCTGTGCTGCTTATGTTGTGGAAACCTTGTTTCAGGACTTTTAGGATAGAAAGTTCAAAATAACAGCTTTATTTGAAATAGAAACCTTTTGTAACATTATAAATGTTTTACTGACATTTGGTCAATTTAATGCATTCTTACTGAATAAAAGCATTAATTTCTTTAAAAAATAATAAAGCTTTTGGCCTGCTGGATGTGTGCACTTTAATTGTAATCTTTAAAAAAATAAAATAAATACTATACAAATTCATTGACATTTTTAGGATTTTGTTGATTTTTTTTCTGTAAAAAACAAAAACATTTTTAACATTTCAAAAATGTAAACTTTAATTTTTGCAATCTTGTTTCATAGTACCAATAAGAACGAACTTACTATTGAACAGTGCTAGTTGTATGGTGCATATAAGTAAACATTATTAGCTGTTACCCATGTAGATGATTTCAAACAGTTTACTTATGAAGTTCCAATGCAGCTCACTGGGATTTGTTTGTACCTGAAGCTCTGGTTGACAGAGCCGGTGTGGTCCAGGCCGAGGTATGACAGCGTCCAGCTGAGATCTGCCTGATCTTCTTGTCCTGCAGAGCAGTAACCAGAGTGGGCTCTTTGACAGGATTGGAATGGCCCAGACCCAGCTGCAATACACACAAAGAGGACATAAGCTCCACTAAATATTCACAGATTCTTAAATATCCACAGAAAACATCATTGCTGACAGTACCTGGGCCTCACAGTTGCAGCCCCATGCATACACGTCTCCAGTGTTGGATAAAGCAAGGATGTGTTCACAGCCCACAGCAATGTCCACAATGAAGACACCCTCCAGAGCGGGAATGATCTGCGGCCGGTTGTGATTCTTCAGCATGGAGTCCGGCAGACCTATCAGACGCTCTGTGAAAACATACATGCATAAAAGGGCTTTCTTAACATCACAAAGGTCATTTGAAAAACACACAGTCAGCTTTACGATCGAAATATTCTTTTGAGAGAAAAATTGGTTCAGACTAGAATCAAAATAGAGTAAATGTAAATGATGCCACATTTACACAAACACATTTGGATGATGATTTCTGGAGGGTCTACCTTGGCCGAATGTGTAGACGTGTCCATCTTTGGCCAGAACCACTGAGAAATGTGTTCCACATCCAACCTTTTTAATGCCTTTATTGCAAAGAGCCTCCACTTTCTAACAACGAATAGAAACACAGGACAATCAGCCAATGAAAAAAAAAACATACACTGATTTTCAGAAGTTTGGGGTCAGTAAGACTTAGATTTTTTTGAAAAAAATTATTACTTTTATTTAGCAAGGATGCATCAAACTGATCAAAAGTGACAGTAAAGACATTTATAATGTTACAAAGCATTCAAATAATTGTTGTTCTTTTGAACTTTTAATTCATCAAAGAAAGTTTTGTCAATAATAAGAATGTTTCTTGTGCACCAAATCAGCATTTGAAGACTGGCGTAATGATGCTGAAAATTCAGCTTTGCATCACAAAAATTAATTCTATTTGAAAAGATCTTAAAAAAGAAAACAGTTATTTTGAATTGTATTAATATTTCACATAATTACCGTTTTTACTGTATTTTTGGTAAAATAATTGCAGCCTTGGTGACCACAATATTCATCTTTCAAAAATATGAACAAATCTTACCAAATTCAAACTTTTTGAATGAAAATGTACCTGATCAATCAGTAAGACTGTACCTGTGGGTAGCATTTCACTGTACATGGTCCAATACCCAGTTTACCATAATCACCGTCTCCGAAAGCCCACATGCTCAGGCCGTCTGATGACAGGACCAAAGTATGATTGATACCACATGACACCTAAACACGAAAAGGTCATCTTCACTCATCACGCGCTGGTCAAAGGTCATATACGCACATTAGAATGAAAGTCCAAACAATGAAGAAGCACCTGTCCAATGTGGTACCCATCCAGTGCTGTCACTCTCTCCGGGACCATCTTGTTTGAAGTTGACCTTTGACCCAAGCGTCCAGAATCTCCACTGCCAAAGGTATAGAGTTTTCCGTCCGCTGTGATGACGGCTGAGTGTTTGAACCCACAAGCCAGCTGAAAGAGGGAAATGATTTTCAAGCGAAATCTGATCATGTCAGAATCAGAAATCTTCTGAAATCTGATCATGTGATGGTTTTGGTGATTATCTTGGACAGTCATTTTCTTTACCTGCACCACTTCCTCTCCCTGCAGAGCCTCGATCTGTTTGGGTCGCCTTTGCCTTTCACTGTTCCCGTGGCCGAGTTTCCCATAATCCCCATCACCCCAGCTGAACACCTCTCCGGTCTCAGTGAGAGCCAATGAGTGGCCATCAGACCCGTATGATGTCACCAGCTGAGTCACTACATAACCTATTAGGGAAAAAAATGACATGTAATAGATGCAATATATATTTCATGCATTTTTATATATGCATGAGTTCAAGTTTAGATAATAATAATATTTTATAGGTCATTATTATTATGAATTATTATTATATAGTTACAATAAGTTATCAGAAAAATATATTAAGAGGTCATTATTATTATTATTATTATTATCAATTATATTATTATTATTACCTAAACTATTATTAATTATATCATTATAGTTACAGTATAAGTTATTAGAAAAATATAGATAAAGAGGTTATTAAATAATAAAAATAATAAAATTATTAATAAAATAATAATAATAATAACAATAATCATAATCATCTTAATCTTAATTCCAATATATAACAAATAATAATATAATCTTATTCCCAGCACAAGTTTAATACAGTGCTAAAAGTCAGATAATAACAATAATATTTTAAAGGTCATTATTATTATTATTTATAATTATTATATAGTTACAATAAGTTATTAGAAAAATAGATTAAGAGGTCATTATTATTATTATTATTATTATTATTATTATCACCTAAACTATTATTAATTATATAATTATAGTTTTAATATAAGTTATTAGAAAAATATAGATAAAGAGGTTATTAAATAATAAAAATATTAATATAATAATAAGAATCATAATCATCATCATCATCTTAATCTTATTTCCAATATATAACAAATAATAATATAATCTTATTCCCAACACAAGTTTAATACAATGTGTTAAAATTCTGATAATAATAATAATAATAATAATAATAATATTTTATAGGTCATTATTATTATTATTTATAATTACTATATAGTTACAATGTTATTAAAAATAGATTAAAAGTACGTTATTATTAATAATAATATAATTTGTTTATGTTGATTTTTGTATGTTATTATTATTTTATTAATAAAATAAAATATATTTTTTTATTTAATTGACAGCCACAGTTATATGGGTCACTTTAAAAAGCTCTAAAATGATTAAACTTTCATGTATTCATTAAATAAAACTTATATAAGACGCAGTAAGAGTTAATTCACATTTTAAAAAAAAATCTGCATACATTTTCAACATTTTCCCCTTTAATTCAATGTGTTAATTACATCTGTGTACAACACATATTACTGGCACTGGCCTGAAAACAAGTTTGCTGTGGTTTGCATTACCTTGTAAAGCTGAGATGATAGTTGGGGTGTAGAGGTCGTCTGAGTTACCCTGTCCGAGTCGCCCATAACTGCCCTCCCCTACAGCCAGAACCGTACCGTTAGCCTGAACCAGGAACGTGCAGTTCTGACCGCACACAACCTAGCAGAGATAAATGGAGAGAACATCTCTTTTTAAATGAACATGCCAACTTTTTGTGGTAGCTTTGCATGTGTTTTGTGTTGATAATCTACCTGTTGAGTCTGCGAGAGAGAGGGAGCGAGTGTGGGCACAGACGCGCTGGTTCCAGCATCCGCCAGCTGCCCGTGACGTCCGTTACCCCACAAATACACCTCACTTTTACCACCCTGCTGCCAGTCCTGTCAAAACCACAAACATGACTTTATTAGATTTAAAAAAAAAAGATGTTTAAAGCACTGTTAAATACAATAATATTTCCTTTATACACATTACAAAAACATTATTCCTTTAATGCAATCTCAAGCCAATTTAGCAAGCTGTGAAAGTAAAATAGGCATAGAGATATGCTTTAAATAATGAGGAAAGGAGTTTTATGTAAAGTAGAGACAGGTTTTGTGTGGCGCTGGCTGCTAGGGTTTGTGAGGGGTAATTTATAAAAGCTGAATGAATAAAAACACGTGAAGAGTGATAAAAATCTGCCTGAAAGAACAATGCTGAACACAGGGGCTATACTGACAGAGACGAATGAGGGAGATGAAGGAAGATCCGGATGTCTTAACACACACTTCCACATATCTGCTAAACCTCACACACGTTCAGGAACACAGACTTACTTCAGGTCTGCTGGTCGCCCAGGACATGAGCTGTTCATCCATCATGAAGGTCCATTTACTGTTGTCCTGGAAGGAGAACAAAAGACCCTTTGCATAAATCAAAATAACCTTAAAGGGGCATATGGTGGAAAACAGGATTTTCTGAGCTCAGCTAAGGAATTCTGGTGTCATTGAGGTACTATTATAGATTTTATTCATATTTTGAACCAGTTTTTATTTTTCGGTTTTCGTTTTAATTTTAGTTAAAGTTTTAGTAATTTTGTTGTATGTTTTGTACATTACACATTAGTCATGTACATGTTTTATTCATTTTTAGTTTTAGTTATTTTAGTACATCAACTTGAATGTTGCCTTTGCAAATGCTGCCTTTGCAACTAGCTGAAACATATATTTTTAAATATATTTATTTTATTTCAGTTGACATTTTAAATAATAAAAATGTTTATTGTTTTCATTTTAGTTTCAGTTTTACCTTACTATAATACACTGTAACGAATCATAATACAACATTTAATTCCAAAAATTACATGAAAATCTGAATAAAATATAAAAAGGTTAAAGGAAAAACTATAAAATAAAAATTAGTTTTATACTTTACTGCATTTTTTTCCCAATACTGATTGCACTAGTATTGCCATTATTTCATTGTTTACATCCTTTTATGCTTACTTAGTCTGTCATTTTTTATTATTTGACTTTTTATTAATTTCTTTTTTTCATTTTAATCCTTGTTATGTATAAGTAAAGCAGCAAAAACAGCTCATTTAATATTCCAAGTGTCAAAACGAGTCAAAAAAGGTCTTGAATAAATGATGTTGTTTTTTTGTGCAAAGAAACCTTACTAACATTATAAGCAGATATACAAATATCCTTCAAGTATTTCACAAGGATTAATTCCTTTGCATCTTACCAATGGTTTGGTCAACTCCGTGGATCCAGAATGATGGAATTCAGGTGCAATGAAGGATTCTGGGAAGGCGGTGCCACGAGCAAACGCCTCTGCGCTCTTCACTGTGGTTGAATAGATGGAAAGCCAGTTCCACTCTGAGGGGCAGAAGGATCCAGGGGGCACGTCCTGATCCGGCCCCGTCCCGCTGTGATGAGGCGGTCTGGACTGACAGCACAGTAACTGATCCAAGAAGAGACCCATGGCCAGAGTGGCCAGACTCTGAAGAAAGGCACTGTGGGTCAACTGATCGCCCGCCATCACATGACTCTGAGGAACGACACACACATGAAAGGATATGATGTTATATAATATCTATAATGCACTGAGAATACCATTTTCATATAAATAATTTTGGAATAATTAAGGTTTAAATTTAAAGAAGCTCACCAAAAATACTGTGAACTAGTATGAATACTGTGAACTATTACGTCTATTTTAATACATTTTAAAATATAAATTGATGAAGTAGGAAGTAAAACTAGGTGGCGCTGAGGTGATGTTGACCCAGAGAGCTGCAGTGAACTGACTGACTCTGGTCTCTCCTCAGCAGACTGCAGGAGATCTCTGCTGTTTAACCGTGGACAATAATGAGCTGTTAATAGAGACTGTTAAGTGAAACTCTGCAGCAAAACGGGGCAAAGAGTCAATATGCCAGCAGAACAAACTGAGCCTCAGCAGAAACTCAGACTGGATCAGAACTGAGGCAAATATGTAAAGTATGTGTCAGTTATCCTAATGTAATGAATACAGTTATTTCATTTCTACAGCATTCTAGAAGACTTCAAGAACTCATTTCAAAACAAAGCGCACTTCTACAGATTTTACTGTTTTATAAGCACATTTTATGATCAAAATCTACCCATAAAGTTACTCCAAAATTAATTTAAATGGAGTATAATTGTATTTCAATTAACATCTTTTCAGCATCAAATGTTATATTCATGGCAAGTTCAAAAATAATTATCCCTTATCCTGAATTGATACGATAATTTAACATTATATTTACAAACAAACAAAAACAAATAAAAAAATAACAATAACATTTACATATAATCTTTCAATTTGATATCTGATAAAAAAAATAGAATATCTCCTGAATATTAAAAAATTTGTATGTGACTATATTTTGTAAATATTAGCAATTTTCATTTAATTTGAATTGTATTTTATTGGCCGATATCAATTTGAAAAATAATAAATAGAATATAAAATAGTCGCGTGTGGATAAGTATTTTTGCCGATTTTGTTATTTAGATTACTATCTAGCACTAACTTAAAGGGATAGTAAAAGATTATAGCAACATTTCCCCCTTTAAGGCCATTATTTTTTTAAATATAGTTTTCCCTTGTCTTTAGTGTGTTTATTTATTCTTTGTCTTTTAAAAAATAGCATAGATTTATACGTAATATTTTTCAGTTATCGTCCGCAACACAAAGACAACACAAAATATATCTCATTACATGAACAATAAATGGAGTGAATGTTGAGTTTTCAGTTTTGATGAGAAACTGCACATACTTTCTCATAGTTGTACTGCTCCTGAAGCAATGTGGGAAGGCGCTCAAGAAAGACGGCCATGCAGGGGGCACGATTCAATCCCAGAATGCCCTGACTGCGTAGAGCGGAACGGCAGGAGGCCAGAACGTGATTCTGAGAGATCCAGTCTGGGGTACAGCGAATTAGCAAAACATCCTGAGATAGGAGAAACAGAATTAAACATTACTTACACATTTTTAGATTAAACATTAATTGATTGAAACACTTTTTCAGAAAGTGTTCGGTACCTTAGATCTTCTAGAACAAGCGGTCACCCCTATGTGTGGGATCCAGGTGGCACAAACCACAGAGCCCATTCCTGTAACCACAGTCTGCAGGACCGAACCATCCTAGAACACAGGGGAGTTACAAACAAAAACAGGAGCTTTGTAAAGCTAATAAAAGAAATACCTATAAGAAGCGTTTGACTTACCCTGAGAGACCAGATGTTGAGCACCCCTCCGATTCCTCCAGACACGAGCGCAAGTCCACTGGGACAAAATGACAGGGTCTTTACCGCGGTAATGTGTCCACTCAGGCGGAACACACATTTAGCATTACACCGCTAAAACACAAAAAAACACACACACACACAGCTTCCTTAAACTGTCCTAACACACTCCAAAAAATACATTTAGTGGCAAATAATCTAACAGTAAGAAAGTTCATTAAAAGGTGAGCTTAAACAGGCAATAAATAAGAAGGCTAAATTATCTCCCCAAAAAACAAAACAAAAATAAATCATTCTGACCTTGCTGGCACTGCTCTTGTCTTGGCTGGTAGACGGGGTGAGGAAATTGGGCACCGAGACATTAGCACCCCCTTGAGGAAGATTCCACACATACAGGAGGCCATTTTGACATCCACTGAGGAAATAAAGGAAAATCTTAACATTTAGATGATGGATTAGACACCTGTGCATCCTTGAGTACCAATATAACCGATAAACGTCTACATATCCTAAAAATACTTCATGAAGTACACATTTAAAGCTCTCCTCTGAGATATCTTGTACCCAATCTTCACGTTAATGGTGTGAAAAATAATAATAGTGCCATTTTATACACTTTTGTAACATTTTAAGACCACTCGATTTGATTCTTACTTATAATGTTAATGTTTTTCCCACCAAAGTCACCATTTAATTTTACACTTTTTTGTCGATTTTCCACCCTTTCTCTGACCTTTAGGTTTTTACTTCTGTTCTAAAAGTTCTTTTACTATCTATTATCTAAATGAATGTCGCAGCTCTTATTATGAACAATTTACCTGTGTATTTGTCATTTTTAAATTGTATTGTTGAAATAAAATGTCACGCTATGTTTTTTTCTTTTTGATAATTTGTTACACTCTGATTTGTCATAATATCGAAGAAAAATATGTTGCTACCTGGGTTATTATAGCTGACAAAAAAAATAAAAATGTTACTTTAATGAAATATAATATAGATATCTTGTACCCAATCTTCACGTTAATGGTGTGAAAAATAATAATAGTGCCATTTTATACACTTTTGTAACATTTTAAGACCACTCGATTTGATTCTTACTTATAATGTTAATGTTTTTCCCACCAAAGTCACCATTTAATTTTACACTTTTTTGTCGATTTTCCACCCTTTCTCTGACCTTTAGGTTTTTACTTCTGTTCTAAAAGTTCTTTTACTATCTATTATCTAAATGAATGTCGCAGCTCTTATTATGAACAATTTACCTGTGTATTTGTCATTTTTAAATTGTATTGTTGAAATAAAATGTCACGCTATGTTTTTTTCTTTTTGATAATTTGTTACACTCTGATTTGTCATAATATCGAAGAAAAATCTGTTGCTACCTGGGTAGTATTATAGCTGACAAAAAAAATAAAAATGTTACTTTAATGAAATATAATATAAAAAAAACTTCCATTGATGAAATATAATATAAAAAACTTCCATTGCAACATTTCTCGTTTAGTTTAACTTGATGTCCTAAAATAAATGAAACTAAAACTGAAATAAAAATTCATAAAAACTATACAGACATATTTAAAAACAACTAAATTACTAAAACTTTAACTAAAATTAATATGAAAGTATAAAATATTTTTTTTAATTCCAAAATATTAACAAAAACTGTAATAGCATCTCAATTATACTATAAAATAACACTGGTTTCTATTTCCATTGCATTGCCATTTTAAGAATTCTACATGTAAATGGATTTTTTGGGAGTGAAATGAGTAGTTAACACTCCCAACAATTTGCTAAATAGTAAAGTAGGTGGGGGCATCTGGTTCTGAAAATCGCTGTGATGATTATTAAGCATATGGCACACTTACACTGCCATCATAAGGCGAGGCTCCGGTCCTCTCCCGGGCAGAGGGCACCACTCGGCCGTGTTGACAGTGCCCGTGTGGAACAGAGAGTGGAGGGTGAGCCACGCACCGCTGGCACGACCCCAGATCTTCACCACCTCAGAGCGGCCCACAGACAGCAGCAGATGACCGGTAGGGTCCCACCTGAGCGCACTCACACTCTCCTGTGAACATAAAAGCATCAAAACATATGGGTTTATTTGTGTCAAAGTATGTGTTCAGTTTCAATCTGTCTGAAATGTGTGAAGAAACCCAATTCATTTCATTCATTCAGTTCATTTGGTTTGTTCAGGTCATCATTCAAAAGTTTCCCAAAAGTCTCCATGTTGCATTTTATCGAATGAAAACATGTATTTTTGTAATGAAATGCACTACAGTTTAAAGGTTTATGGGTGGCCAGATTTTTTATGTTTTGAAGGAATTCTCTTATTCTCAGCAAGACAAAAGTACAGTAGAAACAGTAATATTGTGAAATACTACTGCGATTTAAAATAACTGTTTTCTATTTGAATATATTTTAAAATTTAATTTATTCCTGTGATGCAAAGCTGAATTTTCAGCATCATTACTCCAGTGTCACATGATCCTTCAGAAATCATTCTAATATGCTGAATTGGAGCTAAAGAAACATATTATTAATGATTATTATTTATTATTATTACACAACTGTTGAAAAGAGCTGAGCTGCTTAATATTTTTGCAAATAATTATTTGTGTAACAATACATTTATTTGAAACGCAAATCTTTTGTAACATTATAAATGTCTTTACTATCAACTTTTGATCAATTGAATACACCTTTGCTGAATAAATGCATTAATTTTGTTAAAAATATATAAAAAAAGAATATACATATATACGGGCCAAAGACGAAAAAGGGTTGAAGCACAAAAACAATACTGCTTTAAATTGTTGTTGTTTTTCCAAAAAAAAAAAAAAAATGTAATTCATGTAATTGTATTTTTGTTTTTCTGAGCAAAAAATAAATATCATACATTTACCCCTGATTTACAGAAGACACCAACTAAAATGTCATTCATTGTAACAATCTTGTTAGGCATATTTACAACAAAAATAAATTTATGACATTAAAAAACGAATTACTTTCATCCCAAATACTAATTAGTTCTTATTTAAATTTTTTTAAATTTGCCACTATCCTAGGTTTTGGCCATTTGTCAGGAAGAAAATAGGGTTGAAGCACAAAAACAATACTGCTTTAAATTGTTGTTGTTTTTCCAAAAAAAAAAAAAAAATGTAAAATTTTTACATAACTATAAGTGTCACAATGACAATGGAACATTATTTCAATTTTGACATTTTATTCTTCAAAAACGTATTTCAAACCTTAAATGTAGACACTTTACTTGCATTTAATGTGCTTTCTATGGCCATAAAATCACTTTTGTACATTTCTTTTGATGCGGACACCTTAACGTCTTTGACCCATACACGATTTAAATATTTTTAAATATTACTGTTCATCGCCATCACTGATTAAATTGTATTAATTTACTTATTATATTTTATGCCATTTTTGTGAAAAAAAAATTATTGAAGAAAATATTTTCTAAAACATTGCGTTGCTTATAATTCATATCACTTCCAGTCCATTGTCTTACAAATGCTTACAAGCAAACAATATTAATTAGTCCAAACAAATGATTTATTCTCTAACCAGACATCATTATTGACCAGACCATCATTATTGGTGAATGAAGTGTTTGTCTTTGTTTTGAGGACTCCATACTCACAGGAAATGCTGTTAGCAGAATGGGCGGGTCGATTTCGTAGCTCTCTGCTGTTGCTAGTATTGTATTAATTTACTTATTATATTTTATGCCATTTTTGTGAAAAAAAAATTATTGAAGAAAATATTTTCTAAAACATAGCGTTGCTTATAATTCATATCACTTCCAGTCCATTGTCTTACAAATGCTTACAAGCAAACAATTTTAATTAGTCCAAACAAATAACCAGACATCATTATTGACCAGACCATCATTATTGGTGAATGAAGTGTTTGTCTTTGTTTTGAGGACTCCATACTCACAGGAAATGCTGTTAGCAGAATAGGCGGGTCGATTTCGTCTGCTGTTGCTAGTAGAATTTTGCCATCGGGATAGCCCATGGCAAAGGGTTTATCAACACTGTACCAGGCCAGACACTGAGGAGCTAAAAAACACAGTGATAGTCATTCACCACTGAATTAATGAACACACATTCAAACTGAGATCTTCAGCACATTTATGGACTAACCTTCTTTCCTGTAGCAGTGAGTGAGCTCTGTTCGCTCCACCCTCAAGTCGTCTGTGACCTCCAGCCAGCAGAGGGAGCCGTCCAGCCGGCCCACCAGCAGACTCTCAGGAGGGCTGACCTGACTGCAGGCTTCCTGACTGAGGAACGGAGTGGAGGTCTGAACCCACGAGAGTGCAGTGACCCAGGAGGATTGAGCCTCCATGTGTGCCTGAGCACCTACAGGAAAGAAGACAAACACAAACGCTTTCAAAAGGTGCCTGTATAATACAACCACTTTGTCCAGGATATTTGAAGATGCACATGATATACTGCAGGTTTTATCCACCAAGACTTGCCTGGATTGTGAATGTTAGGCTATGAAATTATAAGTAAAGACAACAACCACTAATAAAGTTGATAAAATGAGTGAAAAACATCCCACAGAACACACTACCAAAGCATCTTACTGGTGACTTTTGCACAGACATGCATTACTCACATTTTTGTAAAAAGAAAAAAAAAAAAAAATTCATTATTGTTTATGAATATGTTGATTTAAATATTTGTAAATATTTTGCCCCAACCACACTACATCCAATGTTGTTGAGGTTACCTAAAACTAAACCTGACAGTATTAAAAATTATTTTGGTAATTAAAATAAAGCTAAAATTTAATTAAAATTACATATTAGATGAAACATTTATTTTAAAAAAATCTAATTAAAAGTAATGTCTAAGTACTACAAAATAAAGTTTAAGTACTACAATTACTACAACTATGAGATAAATATAATTAAAGCAAAATAGAAATATTAGAAAACTAACAAAAATGACAAAAGCTCAGCAAAATTACTAAAACTTAAAATAAAACTTGAAAATAAAAATAAAGGAGTAACACTTTACTTAAAGCCTTTATGTATTAATGCATTAAAAAGGGTTATTAAAGGAACACTCCACTATTTTTGAAAATAGGCTCATTTTCCAACTCCCCTAGAGTTAAACAGTTGAGTTTTACCGTTTTCGAATCCATTCAGCCGATCTCCTGGTCTGGCTTAGATCATTGAATCTGATTAGACCGTTAGCATCTCGCTCAAAAATGACCAAAGAGTTTCTATATTTTTCTTATTTAAAACTTGACTCTTCTGTAGTTACATCGTGCACTAAGATATTACGCAGCGGCTGAAAATAGGCTTATTGGAAGTTACCTAGCTGGGTATTCAGATTGAATCAGATTCAATGATCTATGCTAAGCTAAGCTAAAAGTGCTACCGCCAGACCCCGAGATCGGCTGAATGGATTCGAAAACGGTAAAACTCAACTGTTTAACTCTAGAGGAGTTGGAAAATGAGCCCATTTTCAAAAATAGTGGAGGGTTCCTTTAAAGTATATAATGCATTATAATTATTCATAATGTGCGTCGTAATACATTATATCTTATCGTAAATAATTATAACCAAATTTAAATGCAATGTAACAATGAATTGATAAGAGTTATAATGTATTAACTGTGGTTACAATTATTCATGAGATTGTACAATGCATTATAAAGTGCATTACAAGGGATAACGAATGCATTAAATCTACTTTTATAATGCATTATACTTAAAGGATTTAAGTAAAGGGTTGCCTATAAAAGCTAATTCAAAATGTTAGTAAATGCTATAATAGTATATAATATAATGTATAAATCAATTGATAAATACTATTATAGTGTATACATAATACTAAATTATCACTGGTTACATCAGCATTGTTTCAGAAGCAAATAAAGTTATTTTGATGCTTACCATATTAAGATTATGGTAACAAACTTTTTTCTTCAGAATAACATGCACTGATGTATTGTGCACAATAAGTCCAGAAACAATTAATAAGTAAATAGAGATAACATTGCATTCATATTGTCTTCAAGTTTACTTGCTCTTACAATCAGTTATAAATTACTGCATGCCCGTTCGATTACATATAAGATTTTACAGCAGTAGTGCTATGTGTGTGTGTAAATGTGACAGCAGGATGCTGGTCTGACCACTGACGGTCCAGATGTTGATGAGTTTGTTCTGGAAGGCGGCCAATAGAGTTCCCCCTGCGCTCCACGATACAGCGGACAGCAAATGCGATCCCATTGAACAATCTGAGCTCTGAGCATCCTCACTGCAGAGACCACACACAAACACATAACGGTCTCATTCAACAGAAAAATTATTTCCCAACAGACCTAGGAAACATTTGGAATTTCTCCCTTTCCTAATCAAAGAGACAAAAAACAGGGAGTCTCACCTGACGCTGCAGGTGTGTGTGTGCTGCAGTTCTGCGGTGTTCGGCGTTACAGCCCACAGTCGAACAGTCCCGTCCTGAGAGCCGGTGGCCAACAGACCTTGTTCTGAACTCCAGCTGCAGCTGCTCACCTACAAACACAGCAGCCAATCAGGAACAAGCCACGACATAGAGAGAGAGACTTGCAAGACATCTAGCATGTTTCTTTAAGTGTTTCTACTGTATCTACATCTTCTTTACCCTGTTCTGATGTCCTTCCAGCTTCTTGATGGGACACTTGTGCAGATCTCCGGCCATGTCGCTGTATGTCTGGGGTCTGGCCGTGTTGTCTTTCTCAGAGACCGCCAAGGCCTGGACCAGCTGTTGTGCCGCCCACTGTCGGTGTCTGCTGGTCAGCCTGGCCGAGAGGGCACAGGCAGCGAGAGCATTAGCCAGCTCCAGCGGCCCGACCCGCACTCCAGCTTGAGAGAGAGGAGGACCTGAGGGTGGAGGGCTTCCACCTTCTGTCCAATCACATGCGGAGTTAATTAGGATAAGTTAATTCCAAATCATTAACTGCCATTTCAAAATTATATATAGGTACCTAAGAGAGTCACTAGAATTAAAATCAGCAGGGTTCCCAAAACTTTTGACCACTGTCCATGACTTTTTCATACTGTAAGTTTTCCAGCCAATCAAGATTACTGGTTATTTATTTATTTATTTAGACACTGCATTCTCAAGGAACAACTTTTAACCAATGACATATTTTAGAGACAAGCATAACTAGAAAATATTTTTATTTATTATAGACATTTCCTTATTATGATTTCCAGACCTGGTAATCATAAGTGTAAAATTATTTGAATCTTCAATAAACAGTTTAAACAAAAAATTAAAATTTCCTGATACTTTTAGGATTTCCATGACAGTGAGATTTATTAAAAGTTAATAAAAACTAATAATGAATTAAAAAATAATAATAATAATACAAATCCTGATATACTTACAGGTTTTCCATGACAGTGACAAAATATCAATATTTATTTTAATTATAGTATTTTTACTATAATTATTGTCATGTGACCATCATCTGACAAAGAACGACAAATTTGCAAATGTGTTTTAAAATGATTGAAATATTAACAAAAAATTTAATAATAAAAATGTAAAATTACAATAAACAAATAAAAAAAAATATCCTGACATTCATAAATATACAAATAATATTAAAAGAAAAACAGCCAGAATGATGAAACAAACAACAGTATTCACAGAGAATGATTAAATAAATGATAATACATATAAATGATCATAATAAAGTAGAAATACAAATGAGGTATGATAGAAATACAAAACAATAAATGATAGAAATAATGACAAAATGATAGACAACAATAATATGATAGAACAATAGACAGAAAGAATGAATGAATGACAGAATGATAGAGAAATAGAACGAATGAAAGAAAAATAGAACACATGAAAGAATGAGATAAAAACAGAAATGACAGAACGATAAAAAAAGTACAAATGAAAGAACAAAAGAAAAATAGAATAATGACAGAATGATTGAAATATAGAATGAATGACAACAACAGAAAAATAGAATGAATGAAAGAGAGAAAAATAGAACGAATGACAGAATGCTAAAAAACATATGTGACCATCATCTGACAAAGAACGACAAATTTGCAAATGTGTTTTAAAATGATTGAAATATTAACAAAAAATTTTATAATAAAAATGTAAAATTACAATAAACAAATAAAAAAAAATATCCTACTTGCAAGATTTCCATGACAGTGGGATTGATAAAAAGCTGATAATGAAAAGAAAAACTAGAGTAAATGTAATAATAAAATGTAAACACTTAAATAATTTTAATAATTATTCATATAAATTATTAGTATTAATATTTTATATTTTACTATACATATTTAATTTAAATATTATATTTTAAATATTAATAAATAAGTATTATATTTATAAATATAACAAGTATTACATTTTATGTCATGTGACCATTAACTATTATAAAAAAAAATAAAAAACAATTATGCAAACGTGTTGAAATTTCAGGAGGTACTTCACTTAAATATTTCAGGTCCAAGGTTTGGAAATCGCTGGTCTAAACTAAACTAAAACATTTATGAAACATTTAAAATATATGTACTGTTTTGAGAAATTCTTCACCCTTTGATTCAGTGGAATCACTTCTTTCCACATTATAACGGTATCGAACGCCTTTCTCTGTCAGGAGGGACACCAGACTCTGTGTGACCAGGAAGGTGGGAGGGGTCAGTTCTCTCGGCTCCTGTGGCGCCCCCTTGAGGGCAGAGCTTTGCCTCATCCTCTGCTGCGGACCGGTGATAGCGCTGATGTTCATCCCTGTAGCTGCTGCCATGAGATCCTGAGAGGAAGGACATGCAGGTGAGACAGCATGATTAGGCAGAAGGCAGGATGATTAAATGAGCTGAAAGCAGAGAATGATGAAGAGCATAGCAAGGATAATGAGGTGAGAAACATTAGCAGAGGAGACAAGAAAGATGGTTGGTAGGGAGGAGAGAGAGAGAGAGAGAGAGAGAGAGAGAGAGAGAGAGTACCTGAGTGCAGATGTCCACTAACTCTCTGTAGGCAGCAGGACTTTGGGACACTAAACTGCCGATAGCAGAGCTGAGGAAGGACAGGAAGGCGGAGCCTGTGCGATCGCTCATAGAGCCACGCCCCATTCCCTGCTGGTCCATGCCTGTGTGGACACGCCCCCCCACTGCCAGACACATCAGCCGCACCAGGATACGGATGTCAGCCAGACCCAGAGCCTCCAGACCACTGGACTGATTACACACTGAACTACTGAAACATATGGTGACAGATACACAATGTGTATATTTATATTTGTACATTCGATATGGATTATCAAAAAAAAAAAATGAAGGGCTTGCAGTCGATTGTAAAAAAAAGGGGCGGGGTTTAAACTGGCTAAATGACTGGAGAAGTGCACCACATACACCACAAGAAAGAAGTCTGTTGTTTCAATAGAAATTAATTTGATTATAGATTACGAGGACAAAAAAATTAAACGTATGCATAAATGAATCGTTAACAATAAGATGCAATGACAGTTCATTTCCATTTCATGTTGACTTGAACTCCTCATTAATACAGTATTCATTAAAATGATTTATAATTGACAAAAACACAAAACAGACTTTTTCCCACAAAATTATTTACATCAAGTTTGATAAATGTTTAATATTCTGCTTTTTTAAAGTTTCTGAAAAATACACAAAATCAGTCAGAAAATCTACAGATCATAACAGTAATACATTTTAGGGTTTCAAATACAAAATAACTGACTTTTTCCCAACAAAACGATTTAAATCAAATTTAAATATTCTATGTATTTTTTATTTTCTATTTCTTTTCTTTTTTTTTGTTTTTGAACATTAAAATAATCATAGTCAGGAAATCAACAGAAATTTTGGATTTGTGTGAAAAAAAAGTATTTTGGGGTAAAATCTGAAAAATTCTGTGGAATTCATTTAGATATATTAACCATATACCATCTAGTAACCATGTTAATCTATGCTGAGAACTACACTCTTACTGGGAGCAGAAAGAAATAATACAAAATAATAAAACTAATGCAAAATTTTGTTTTTTTTGTTACTTTGTTTTTTGGGGTTTTTTGAGGAAAAGTCTTAGTGAAAAAAAAATATTATATATATTTATATTACATGTATATATTTATTATATATCTGTAAGGATTTTGCAAAATGGATTTAAATAAAGTAAAAAGAATAAACAAATTAGTCAAATAAAATGAAATGGCCAAGGGAAGGGTAACACATTTGTGAGTAATGAGTGTGATGTTGATGGGTGAATAATGGAATTCTGCAAGGCTCAGATTCCGTGCAGGTCAGTCAGACATTGATGGATCCATCACAGTAGGACATGTCAGATTCGGTGAGAGGGAGTTCACCGAGCAGATGATATATTTACTGCTGAGGGAAGTCAGGTACGAGTGGTTGTTACCTGGTGGAGGTCTGTGAGAGAGCTCTCATCACCATACTGTAGGCCAGCAGGATCTGAGCGGTGGTGACGACTCTCCTCAGAGCCAACAGTCTCTCCTGGGGCTCCCGCAGGGATGCTGCCTGCTGCCCGAGACTCAGAGGAACCGAGGAGCTCTTCAGTTCGGTGCTGACAACACCTACACACAGAAACAAACAACAACCTGCTGCATTTCACTGAGATTTTGGAAGCTCTTGTAGGAAACATGAAACAAAATAAGAACATTACCTTTGTAAAGCAGGTTGTTGTCTCCGCTGACCGAGCCACTAACGAGGGCTCCAAGTGGGTCGTGTTCAGTGAAGGGGATTGGGTCGGGCACGGGCTTCTTCTCACTCAGACCCAAAGGCCTCAGAAGAATCCCAAAGTCCTCCAAACCTGTAAGCCTGCCTGAATCCGAGTCTTCCTGGTTACCTAGATCCCATTCATCTAATACAGAGACATTACATCATTACACATTCATTTATTAAACTGGATAGTGTTGGTTATTTAAAAGTTTGCACAAATACCTTCTGATGTACCATCTAATTGACCAATCAGATCAGACGCCAAGCCTCTTGCCCTGAAAGAACAACATCTGGGTTGTTATATAGCAAAAAGTCAATGGCTACAGCATGTTCATCGTTTTTTCATCTTCACCTGTCCTGTTTGGAGCTCATAACCCCCAGGTTGGAGGCTAGGTACTTTTCCCTGCATGCAGTGCACAGGAGGTAGTATGGGCTGCCTGATCCGCATTCGCCTCCGAACCAGCCGTCCACGTAGGCTCCATTGCTGCGGTAACCACGGCGACTGGCGCTCTGACCGCATCCCGGGTGATGGCGCTTCATGTGGTTGTTGAACTGCAGGGTGAGTGTGTTACACAGCTCACACTCCACCATCTCATGAGGCTCTGGGTGCTCTTCTCTTCCCTGAGACAAAAAGAGAGATAGAGTGAGAGAGCAATCAAAAATACATTCATAAATATACAAATAATATTAAAAGAAAAACAGCCAGAATGATGAAACAAACAACAGTATTCACAGAGAATGATTAAATAAATGATAATACATATAAATGATAATAATAAAGTAGAAATACAAATGAGGTATGATAGAAATACAAAACAATAAATGATAGAAATAATGACAAAATAATAGACAACAATAATATGATAGAACAATAGACAGAAAGAATGAATGACAGAATGATAGAGAAATAGAACGAATGAAAGAAAAATAGAACACATGAAAGAACGAGATAAAAACAGAAATGACAGAACGATAAAAAAAATAGTACAAATGAAAGAACAAAAGAAAAATAGAATGAATGACAGAATGATTGAAATATAGAATGATTGACAACAACAGAAAAATAGAATGAATGAAAGAGAGAAAAATAGAACGAATGACAGAATGCTAAAAAACATAATGAATGAAAGAACGAGAGTCTTATCAGTGGTTAGGATGTAGTGTATGCATGACTTCACCTCTCGTTGGGTTCTCTGCTTTCCTGTAGGGTGAGAGGAGCTGGAGACTCAGGGCACTGGACCGTCTCTGGCCCTTCAGAGGAGGGCGTATCAGTGGCGCCCCATGCAGATGAGCCCTCTCCTGTGATGGGATGTTCCAGCATCCAGCTCGCCAGCACCTCAATGGTGCGTGAGTCCACCTCTCCAGTGACCCCTGAGAGAGGTCACAAAGAGGTCAGGGAGAACACTCAAAAAACGTTTAAACACACTTGACTGAATTCAAGTTTCTCGTGATCTTAAAAACTATTTGGTCTGAAGTGTATGATAAATGCTTGAAACTTATAAAGTGAATATGAATTACTTTTTTTCAACAAATCTATAATTTTATTTTAAAAACAGACAATATGGAAGCAGACTTGTTGGACTAGATGGGGAAGGAAAACTTTAATACAGAACTGATTAAACTAGAAATCTATGGAAGCTTGTTTCTACCATGGGATAAAAAAAATTGCAACTTTTTCTCTCACATTTATATTTATATATCTTATTTATATATCTTTATCTAACAATTCTGTCTTTTTTTTCAGAATATAAGACAAAGTCAGAATTGCAGGTCAATTTCAGAATTGCAAGATATTCTGAAAAAAAATGTGGGGAAAAAAAAGTTGAAATTGTGGGATGTAAACTCGTAATTGCAAGAAAAAAGAAATCTGAATTCAGTACTGTTAGACAAAACAAAAGAATTGGCTTATTTTAAAAAGTTGGCTTTGCGAACAAAAAATAAATATATAATTACATTTTTGTATAACTATAATGTTTAAGAAAATGTAAATATGCAATAAAATGATTATTTAAAATATATACAAAATATTTATATAAATAAGTTGAACTTTGTTGAACTGTGAACAGAGCATTCATAATAGAAAATAAGACTTCATGCGGTGCACCACTAACATTTCCCATGATTCAGCTGAGTGTTTTAGTGGGGAAAACAGTGAGGGGTGAATTGAAGCAGGATCTCATAGGGAAGTGTAATGAGTCTATCTACCGTAATAACAGCATCATCAGCAGTCAGCAGTACATAATTAGAGACAAAATAAATAAATAAATACACTAATCAAAAGTACAAAACTCAACATAATTATCCAACTCTTCCATCCTTCTTAATCTTTGAAAATTTCATAAAGCATTGTAACATGATTGTCCCCTTTAGCAGGTAAGAATGAGTCTGGCTAGATGTTGCAAGCCCTCGCTGGTACCTGCTGCCTCCATGGCCCTGTAGATGTGTCTCATTGAGAAGCCCATTTCAAGCAATCGCACTGGGACAAACACTTGGGGCTGTTCTGAAGGACAGAAATCAAAATGTGATTCAGTGATGCATCAGAATGTGTCTGGACTGGGCTGACTGATGCAGTCAGTAAGGTAAATATAATGTTTTTTAATTATTTAGAAAATATCTGCATTTAAAAAATATAGCACAGTGCTAGAGAACTGGGGAACTTATTGGTCAACAAAATGACACATGGACTACAAATTCCATTACACACACACACACACATACATTTCAAATTCCATTACATATATTTTTTTACACTTAATAAACTTTAATATCTGACACGGACTACAAATTCCATTATATATTTTGTTGCACTCAAAGTTTAATATCTGAGACCACATTGAAGGATTTTTTAATTTACATATACATTTCAAATTCCATTACATATTTTTTTTTACACTTAATAAACTTTAATATCTGACATTGACTACATATCCAATTACATTTTTTTCCCTAATAAAATTTAATATCCACATTGAAAAGTATGAATCTTTTTCATTTACATAAAACAGTTTCTTATAAAAATTTATATAAAAATAATAATTAAAAAATATTCAGAAATGTATAAATTGTTAGGATAGTATTTCTAAGTCATTAATCAAATTTGTGATATTAAAAAAACTAAGACATTCTCAAACTTTACTTTAATTGATTTAATTTGTATTATTTTTCAATTAACCTTTCACACAGACTGACACTGATAATATAATTAAATACATTAAGTGTAATATAAAAATATAATTTAATTTTTTATAAAATAAAAATAATTAGACAATTTATTCACTAGTGTTCAAGTTTTGGACCCCAGTGCATAAAAAATATAAATATATTTATAAAAGAAATTTGTAATTCATTGTGAGATTCAATGTGCCATTCAACAGGGTGTAAAGATGCACAAAAAAGCCAAACACTTTTTTTGCAATCAGTGAGTACAGTATGTAACAAACCCAAAAATCCTTCCAAAGCAAGACTCAAGTGTAAAACATACACAGGCGTCATGGTCTTGACATCAGTTTATAAAAACTAATTGAAAAAAAAAAATCACTAGACCATATGAACTGTGTCCATGGATGCCACATGCTACTTATATTCCAGTCTGTCTGGACGTCTTACCCACGGGGGTCCTGGTCTGACCGCAGGGCTCCAGGAAGCTGGTCTGCTGCTCAGTGAAGCCCTCACAGGAGGCTGAGCTCGTCAGGCTGAGCCCGGGGGGCAGAACCGGACTGTGGACGAGACCTGCCAATGTGGGAAAACGTGCCAGTACCATCCGCCTAGAGGAGCCCAGCCACACACACATGCACACACAGACACAAGAGAACCGCTAGCACCTGTTCTAGAGCAAACCTTCAGCTTGAGCGTGTGTTATGATCAGGTGTTAATCACCCTGGTGTCATTAAGCCATGCTCAGATGCCTGAGGTTAAGAGGAGCATGTGTTTATGAGGTTATAACACACACAGCCACGGCTTTACCTGTAACCTTTGTGTGAGTGTGTGTCTCAGTTGACGCCGATCTGGAGTGAGAATATCCAGGCATGTCAGAGAGTTTACCGTGTGTGTGTGAGAGTGTGTGTGTGTGAGAAACCCTTGTCTCATGTCTCTTTCTTTCAAATTGACATTGACTAGCACAGTTATTAAAAAAACTGTACAGTACAATTACTCCTCAGATGTTACAACACAATGGCATTATTTCATAGTACTTTATAATGACTTCACTAATTCATAGGTTCCTTTATAATACACTCTTTAAATGTTAATAATTGGGCTTGGATGAAAGAGAAACTCACTGTAGCAGGTTGATGGGAAGGAAAGGGTTAAAGTTCTCCAGGCTGTCAGCCTGCAGGGCGGTGAGGAGCGAGGCTGTGAGGTCATTGGTGGAGGGTGAAGCTGATTGGCCGAAGATGGCGGTGCCTTCAGAGCCGTTGCTGTAAAGCGAGACTGAACTGGAAGATTTGGACACGGGCTGAGAGGACGAGTGACCTCCTGAATCTGTGTACACAGAAACAACAGAACAAAGAGTACAATTAATGAATATACAAAAAACAAACAAATATTACATTAAAAGCCTACGTTAATATTATTATTACTAGTAGTAGTAGTAGATATTATTATAGAATTTTTCCTTTCTAAGCTACATGAAATGCTACTGTGCTACTACTATTAAATTATTATACTAACGTTACTAAATTAAATTAATAAATATATTAAGTATTATTCTTTTTACAGACTTTCTGCCTTCTAAAAGTTCAAAGTTAAAATGAAAAGTTAGTAAATTATATTAATACATTTAAAAACAAATAAACATTAATAATAATAATGTATTACTATTAGCTATTTTTCCAGACGTTTGTCTTTCTAAGCTATATGAAATACTACTACTATTAATAATAATAAATTGCATTATTGTATTAAAATTATAAAATTATGAAATTATATTAAGTATAAAGCTAGTTATTAAATTATATTAAGTATATAAAAAGAAACAATAGTAATAATAAAAATGTGATGATGATATTATTTTTGTATATTTTGTGAATTATTATTTTTACCGACCTTTGCCTTTCTTTTTGTTATATTTCATTATCATATTAAAATTATTAAATGAATGTTATTAAATTATGAATAAATAATTAAACAAACAGTAGTAATATTAATAATTTATTATTTTTATTAGCAATTTTTACATTTTTTTGGCCAATTAGACTTTTGCCTATTAGCTATTTTTTTTTTTTTTTTTAACTTTTGCCTATTAATAATTATAATACATTAAATCATATTAAAATGATATTAATAATTAAATAAATTAATAGCGTTATAATATGTAAAACAATTAATTAAATTATTATATTACAATTATTAAATTACATTAATTACTGAATTATTATAAACAAATATATAAACATTTAATTATTATATTATTATTACAAGTCAAGTTAAAAAGTTTAATTATTATTATTCAACAGTAAAAGTAGTAAACAACTGAATAAACTGTATTGTTCACATGTTGCTGCCAAAGCTCCAGACCTTTGTGTTCTTTGCTTCCATCCTCGTGCAGTCTGCTCAGCACTCCTTTAAAGATGATGATCTGGGCCCTCTCGAGGTCTGATAAAGCCATGGCCTGTTTGATCGGACAGGTTCTGACGGCCCACTTCACCATGCTCCGCACCACAAACTGCAGCACAGAGCGCAGCTCGCCGTTCTCCTCCCCACCAGCAGAGGCTCTCGCTGGGTCGGGGCTACTTACATTGACCCCTGCATCTGATTTGGGAACCAGCAGGAGATCTGTGAACTTCCCGCAGCTCAAAATGACAGCCAGAGATTTTAGCGCCCCCAAAAGGAGGTAGGAAATGCGGACTGCGCGCATTTCCAAAGCAAAGAAGTCCACTCTGGGTTGTGGCGCAAGTATTGGTGGACAGGGGGTGCCAACACTCTCCTCGTTTGACTGTATGAGGGATCTGAATGTGTCATCTTGGTTCTCATCTCTCCTCTCTTCCACTTTATTTCTGTCCTCATCCACCGGACAGCTCATTCTCTCTTCATCCATCATAATACGAGCGATGTCCTCATCCAAACATCTCTCCAGCTCTCTACGCGGGCCGCCCTCAGAGCTGATTCGGTTTCGTGACAATCCAGATGTTTCGGATGATCCAGGAGGCGGCTCTTGCTCTTCTAAGATGCCGGTCATCAGGATGAGGTCGAACAACATGGAGGGCTTGAGGCCACGGCAGCGGGACATGTCCAGCTGGGGGACGTCACACGGCTCCAGGGAGGAGAGAGGCGTGTCGCTGGGTGACCAAGAATTCAGGAAGCTTTGGGTTAGCGGGACCACAGCAGGTCACAAGCAGTATGAAGATGAAAAGAGGAGGGAGACGGAAGGGGCAAGACAGAAATAAAAGAGTGGAAAGGAAAGGATACCATGATTAGAAAAAAAATGAAGGGGACAAAAGACAATACAAGAAAAGGGAAGTGAAGAAATCGAAAAGGAAAAAAGATGCATGCAACTGACAAAAAGAACAGGACAGGTATAACATACAAAAAAATTACAATGGCACCTGAACATAGAAACTAATGACAGTGCTGGAGAACATTAAGTCATAAAGCACTACACTATTATACTCTAAAAGGTTTTGTATATTGTGTGTATATATATATATATATATATATATATATATATATATATACATACATATATACATACACATACACACATTTATAATGTGTAAGAAAAATATTACCTGTCACATTACAGAGACAACACATTTTTCTAAAATGAAATAGTCTTTTATATGGTCACTGCACTAAAGTCAAACTAAATCAATGCAATATTAATCTGACAAAATTTACTTCCAACCACTAATAAAATATTGTTAGATGTATAAATCTTTCATATAAAAAATGAAAAATAATAAATAACAAATCTGATGTATAAAAAATATATTAGATATATTTATTTCTTACAACTAAAAATAGAGATGTAAATTATTACATTATAATGAATACATTATAATAAAATAAATACATTATTAAAATAAAATGAAAAACAGCAAAATATCAAATTCAGTAAATGCATGAAAAATATTATTAAATATATTTTATCTTATTATATCTTGTGAACTTAATACATTTTACAAAGTTTTGTTTTCGCTTAGATTTTTTGCAGCCCCCAAACACCCCAATTTGAACCCTTTACTCTAAAAAATTATAAACAATGAGCATTTTTACTATGAATTGCATGACAAAATTTAAAATGAAATAGGTGGAATTTCATTTAAATTTTATAATAAAACAGACATTTTAAGTAATTTAAAAAAAACAATAGTAATAATAAAAATATGACAATAATGATTAATTATTATTTGTGTATATTGTGTGTATTATTTTAACCGACCTTTGCCTTTCTTTTTATTATATTTAATTATTACATAGAAACTATTAAACAAATTTTATTATAAATAAATAAATAAATAAAATGATAAATAAATAAAAAACAGTAGCAATATTAACTGATTATTTTTTATTATTATTTGTTATTTTTTACTTTTGCCTCTTTGATTATTAATAATAATCATAATACATTAAATCATTATATTAAATTATAATATAAAATGTAATCATTTGAAACTTGCATTTATTTGACCGTCTGTAAGAATACTGTATATATGTATTTGTGTACTTACCTCACAGTAAAATCTGTCTCCTCCCACTGAAGCTTAGCCAAGGGGCTTCCCTCTTTCAAGACCCCGAGCAGAGTCGCCCGTCGACCGCTGGGTTTGTGCAGACAGGTCCCTCCAGCACGGAGACCGCTGTCCACCCCTCCGATCAGGGCCATGACGGGCCAGACTTCAGTGCACAACACACTGAGCTGGGCGTCAGAGAGCCCCGCTGGGCCAGAGAGGTGGTCTGTCGATGTCCCGACATCTGCCCAAGCAGAGCCCCTCTCACATTTCTCATCGGACTCCTTATTGGGATGACCTGCTGGCAGAGGACGAAATATATTAACCATTAAAACACAATTGGCATAGCGATTACAAAAAGCCTTTTCTAAAAAGTAATTCATGGGAAAAATTCTATATTATATACGCTCCTGGAAACAAGACGAGTAATCAACATTTTAAAGTCTAGAAAGTTTCTAAATGTATTTAGAATACATTTTTGTATACATTTAGTTTTTTACATTTACATGTATTAATTTAGCAGACATTTAGTCTGCTTTTTCTGCTAGTTTTTGTTAAATTTTTTATTTTAAAGGGGTCATATGATGCGATTTCAATTTTTCCTTTCTCTTTGGAGTGTTACAAGCTCTTGGTGCATAAAGAAGATCTGTAAAGTTGCAAAGACTAAAGTCTCAAATCCAAAGAGATATTCTTTATAAAAGTTAAGAGTCAGCCAAGCCTACCTAAAACGGCTCGTTCTAACACGCCCCCACATGTCTACATCACTATGTGGGAAGATTTGCATAACGCCGCCCAAATGTTCACGCAAAGAAAGAAGGCGTAACTTTTATTCTGTGTGATTCGTTGTGAAAGCGAAACTACTTTGTTTGGTCTTCCAAAAGAGGACGATATCTGCTTTGTCATGCCTGGAGCTGATCCATGCTGGTTGCTGAGGAAATACTACATATAATACTAATACAGCCCGCCGCTTCTTCTCACTCAGCCCGCCGCCTCTGCTCGAAAAGGCCGTGGTTGACGCTGTGTTTTGTTGTGAAAGCTAAACTACTTTATGCCGGCTGTTCTGACTCAAAGACTAAGTAAATTTTTTATATTTAAAGAGTTTTTATATTTTATATATTTAAAGCAAGTTTTTTGGGCAGTGTAGAGTAGGGCTTGTTGTTTGTCATTTCTCCGATCACAAATGCAGACATGGTTTTATGTTA